AAAAGAAGAAAGTTCTCCACCTGTTGAATGAATGGTGCAGTACATTCTTCTTTTTACAACTGTTGCTACATCTGTAGGTTTTGTAGTTTGCCTGAAATCCTCTTTTATTTCTCTAATCCAGCATGTGTCTCTCTCCTCTTCTGCCTTCTTCCTTCTCAGGTTCCTCCCACTTCCCCCTTGCTCTTTGCCATAGGCTTTGCGTTCCCCTTGTCCTGTTGTGTGTTTTTGCTGGAGACTTTACAGCACGTTGCCCTGTGGAGAATAACAAGGCTAGTTAAACAAATTGAGTCTACCATTAGGTAACATGATAGAGTGCCTCTGTTATGCTCCAGTGTTCCCTTTTCCACCCAGATAAACATGAATCTGCCCATCAGAGCATTAGTGGAGAGCTGGATTGACTGGAGGAGGCCTCCAGAATTTATTGCAAGTGTGGCAGACGAGCTTTGAAAAAAATGTCTTCAAGCTAAATGTTTGGCCTTACTTTCCTCTGTATGTAAATGTAGTGGTAATTTCACAAAAAGCAATGTGATTACTTACAGCTGTGATTTAAGTGATCTAAGAGGTGAAGACTATGTAAGGTGTTGCCAATACCCTTAACAGTTTTGTCTATACAAATACACAGTTAAGTCAAATGATGAAAACCCAAGATTTTGTTCCATAGGAAATTTACATAGTTCAGTAGCAAAAATGAAAATTATTTCAAATGGAGGTGGAAGAGGGAGAGAAAATTTTCCTTTAGAATGATGATGTTAAAATTTTGTTTAGAAAAAAATCCAAATGCTGTTTTGATTATGACAGTTTTTAGTAATTTCCAATGTTTCCAAAATCGAGGCTGTCTGAAGATAAACCGTCTAAGTTCTATTCAATAAAAGTTTGTCTGGTGAACTGCTAGGGGACCTTGAATGCTTTTGCTCTGCAGCTGAGGTAGGTATTTTGGTGTGCTGTGCCGGCACCAGGAAAACCTTGGAATTCCACATGCTTTAAAACAAGTTGAAAGAAAAACTACAGCATCCTACAGGACACTGTCAAAAAAAAAAGAGACAGGGATGGTTATCAACGTCCTATTTCTTAATTTAAAAAATAAATACATAAACTGAATCAGATTCTTATCAAAGGGGCAAGGAGAAATATGTTTCACCTTTTGCAAGCTGTTTTAATGGGTGTGCTAGATTTTTGTCCAACACGCATCTGTATAGAGATGGAAAGGTCCAACATCGCTGACCTGACAAAGTGTTTTACCTCATGGGTTTCTGCTTCTTACATTCATTGATATATTTGTGGAATTCCGAAGGCAGAGGGAAGCCACAAAAAGGTCACAAAACTGCAAGCCAAGGTAAACAAGCTCTCAGAATATGCTTAGCAAATGACAGTGTAAACCACAGAAAAAGTATAGAAAGGAGAGGAAAACCTATTCCCTTGGAAAATACATTTGCTGGCTAGAAAGACATTGAAGTTTAGAGCCATTTACATTGGTTCCTTGCTGTTTTCCAATAAATTCTCTTTGTTCAGGTTGATAATTCAATCCACGGTCCTAGGCACCCAGGCCATAGGGAAGAGGAATACATGTTCTGCAACAGGTACAAGGGAAGGCATTTTGGGCATCATGACTAAAGGCAAAAGCCCCTTCCGTAACTGGAAAGGAGACTGGACTACCTCTTTGTCATAAATTTTACTTAGTAATATTTGAATAATGTATTGCACATAAATACAGCACCAGAGCATTTCTTTATTCATTGTCAAAGAGGGTTATGTTTTCTCCTTTGTACACTGCACAGAAAAGAAGGATTTTTTTTGTTTGGTTCAGCATGCATTTTAATTTTTTTTTAATTTTTTTTTTTTTTTACTCCATTGCAGATGGAAAATAGCTTCTCAGTTCTTGGTTATTTATCCTAGTTTACTTGCATTTCAAGTACAGGCTTCTCTTGATGGAGAAATAATTTTGGATGGCTATGCTATTGTCCCTGCTGCTCTTTAGCCCTGTGACGTGAAGCTGCAGAATTATGTAGCACAATCTTGTAAATGTTAAAGCATCTGAACCACTTTGTTTTGTTACTTTTCACAGCACATTCAGACTTCAGTCCAGATGTGCAATGCGAGGAATTTTAGTTGCACAGAAGATTCTTTTGGCAGGCTCTTGCAGCACATTCAGCCTAGATAACTGACAGGAATAAAGTTACTGGCTAAAAATGGCATTATGTCCAGGAAACATGTGAGGGACTTTTTTCTGTTGATGTAGACAGAATTTCTAAAGATTCTACTTGCTGATGGTGTAATATCTATATTGTGCAGGGAGCTCCACCTACATCTGTGTTCAGCAGTAAAAAACCAATACTTGTATCTCATATATTTGCCTTTGAAAACAGATTTTTCTCTACAGCATCGGACTTTTTTGTTGGAACATAAAAGAACCGGAATCCTCTCTAGGTCCTGCGGGATACATTGCAGAAAGGGAATAATAATTGCAAACCGTGCTGTATGTACCATACCATGCTGCGAGGAGAAAGTTATATGCCTTATACAATAGGTTTTACTAAATCCCTTAAATAGCGATGCTGGTAATTGTGCACACTTCAGTGCAGTACTAGTGAGAGCTACGTAATGACTAAAGGGTTTCCAGATTGATTACTCGGAAACAAGTGGATTTATGATGATCAGAATGTTATTAGGGTGGGGGAAGGGTGATTGAGAAACCTCTCAGTGAAGGTAATGCTGACAACACACAGAAAAATCAGAAATTATTTTGATTACGAATGACAGCTTGTTTACAAATAGCAAATACAAAGATCAAGGAGAAAAGAATTGAATAGAGAAGCAGCACCCTGACAAACAGAATTGCCTGGATCGGTCATGTATAGCAGAAAGCTGAAATTTATTTGGGTTTTTCGGGATACTTTTTTCCCCTCTATTTTACCTCTGAACTAATGGAATTAATTAGTATTTATTTTAAGGGACTAGGATTTAAACTGTGGAATTGAGTTTCGCTTTTACTTCAGGGATACCAGGAGACCAAAGGGTGCAAGAGAAAGTACTCTGTAAGTTACGCAGAAGCACTAATACCTATACTATGCCCAACCCCCAAACATCTTAAGTCAATAAACATGATTGATTTATTCGCTTTACAAATCTGAAAAGTAGATGATTACTTCACATTCTTAACTAAAAAAATAAAAAAGGTTACTTTAGAAACTTCATAAGCTGATCTGAAAAAAAGTAAAATTCAGTGCTCAAAATCAATTTGATAAATGTGTTGGGCCCTGAAGTCTTAGTACACGTTGCCTTTGTAATAATTTGTATACCTGATCATAAAGTAAAAACACTCGTGGATCAGTTAAAGGAATTGGGGGGGGGTGTAAAATGATAAAGTAATTAGTATCATACCTTCAAGAAAGATTTAAAACTGTGGTACATGGCAGTAATGGATTTTGAACACAGTTAATGAGCTTATTCATTGCATTCATTTTTAATTAAGTGGAAAAAATACTGGTCCTTTAAATGGAGATAATAAATGTGCAAGTCAGTCTTGCACAAACATGCAACACAAGAATTTATTGCCTGCTGTCTAACTAGGGAACTGGGAATCGTTATAAAGATTAGCTTTACTGAAAAAAAATCCAGAAAAAACTTTAGCACAAAATGTTTATGAGGTAATAATTTTCACATTAAAAATTGCTTGGCATATTTGGTGGAATGTATGTGCGTGTTTTTTAAAATGTAAGTATTTGCTATCATCAGAGGTAGGACTGTTTGTACGCTTGAAAAGGATGCAGTGCTATTTACCAGTTTAGGTTTACGTGAGACAAATTTAGTATATGACTATACACGTAAGAGAATAGAAAACATCAGACATCTTGAAACTTCCTCAGAAGTGTGTTATGCTTGTGCTTGGAATACAAGTAGTGGTTTGAGAGCGAAACGATGACTCGGGAGGCTGCAGCTGTGAACTTGCAAGCGCGCGCCGCGCTGTAACCGATGGGCGCTCGCCCTCCCCAAGCCCTGGGCCGTGCTGCTGCTGGGGCTCGGGGGGTTCAAGCTGCAGCGGGGGAAACCCGGCCGAAATGCTCAGTGTTTATTCTCTCAGTGGGCAGCTGGGGAGCTGACATGAAACAGGCTAAAGCACTGAAACCAGACGTACCTTCTAGAGCAGTGGCTTTCAAGGTTTTTATGACTTGGGAACCCCCTAAACATTTTTCCAGTGGAAGCAAGGGCCTTTGTGCAGCGTACTGAAGCTTACTGATGACAATTGACTGGCGTTTTTTAGTTACCTTCCACGGATCTATTTGAAACTGTTTGCAGATCCCCTGGGATATCCAGACCACAAGTTACAAACCAATGAAACTAAATTAAAGTTAGTATGCTTCGTTCTCTCAAAGCTCCCAACCCATGTCTCGTCAATAGTGCCAAAATACTGCTAATTCTGATACGTAGTGTGGCCTTTCTGATACCAGTATGTCCAGGTCTTTGCTCAACAAATGTCTCGTTGGGACAGACACGAACTCAAAATGTGCTTCCAAGTTCCGCCATGGCACCTTAACCTTTGGGAGCTTATTCACCACTGGTTTTACAAGAGGGCAAGTGTTCCCCACCAAAAAGCCCCTGAACTTTCACTGGGGACATGCAGGATACTGCTAATGATATTGCAGTGCCCGTTGCTGTGCCACACTTAGGCAATTTCAATCTTTTTTTCTCTGACTTTATTCTGCCCCATCCCACACGTTGTGATTGCTTTCCGTAAAAGGAACAAACAAAACCATACTCATGGGTCTTTTCAAAATGCTAGCTCTGCTTTTATTTTTTTAACCTCACTGCATGATTTTATTATGTATTTAAGCCAGTAGCAACTTGGAAGCTAAGTTTAAAATATCTGGCTTTGGTAGCATACTTTTAGCATTAAAACAAAACAAAAAAAAAATTGCAAACTGCAGAGTCAGTTTATTGACTAAAGCAGGAAGTTTATAGGAATTTTATCAGTAAATAAACATTTGATTTTCTTTTCTGTTCAGGTATGACTTTGTAGAAGTTGAAGAGCCTAGTGATGGCACTGTTTTAGGGCGCTGGTGTGGTTCCAGTAGTGTGCCAAGCAGACAAATCTCCAAAGGAAACCAGATCAGAATAAGATTTGTGTCTGATGAATATTTTCCTTCTGAACCTGGATTCTGCATCCATTATACACTTCTTATGCCAGTAAGTAACATGTTTCAGATTGGAACATTTCAGGAAAACAAAAATCTTTGAAGTGGTAGCTCAAAAGAATCTTTTACTAGCTTAGGATTAATTACTGTTTATTTCTTAATAATAATAATAATAATAAGCAATCTGTCTTCCAGAACTGTACATTTTGTTTCTGTTTTTTAACTGAGTGTTCTTGTGGTTCGTCTTGGATGGGTTTGGACTGGGAAGTTGTGGGCTCAGTTGTTTGTGTGGAAACTTCAATAAAATGTTTGCATTCCTAATACAGTACTGTGAAAAAAAAAATATTTTTCTGGCTTTGAGAAGAAGAAAAATCATCATAAGAATGAGCTGTGTAACATTTAAAGAGCATTGGGAATTTACAAAGAAGATTGAAGAAGTTAACTTTTTTATTAGACATACACAGCCAAATGATTATACCTAGTTCAAAACCAGAAAAGTTCTTATGCTTCTGAATTGTTTTATTGCAGTGACAAAGCAGACAATGCATAATACTCACTTTCCACTGCATTTTCCCTGGAAACTGTACTTCAGACTTTCTTGAATGTTGCTTAATACTTGTAAATCGCAGGTATTAGACAATAATCATTGTCTAAAACGTGACTACTTTCACTGTCAACGGATTTCTCTTACCTTTTTCACCAAATGAAAGATCTGTGATAGCAAAACAATGCTTATAGATTTTTCAGGCATAGATAATGTTCTGAAACATTAAAATGGAGCAGAACAGGAGTTCACTTGCTCTAGAATAGGTGTTCACCATATCTAAAGAGAGGAAGGAGTATTTTTGTTAAATTCCTCATAATTCACTTTGTGAAACTCCTAAGTAGTCTTGTGGTTTGTGGTATTTGGTTGGTGGAAAATATTTGCAAGCTGAATAAAAAATTGATCAAAAGAATCCATGTTGTAACCCCACTGACATGGACTTCACTCCAAATGCATTTGGCTTTCTTATTGCTTTTGCCGTTTTTGCCTCTTCTCCCCATTTGCAAACTTTCAGTTACTAAGAAGCAAAGAACAACATTGCGTGTCTTTCCAACAGTACATGATCTTCTATGTAGTATATTTAGCATACTGATGATGTCAGTGAAGTGTAGTGTTCTGTGTGTGTACTCATATATATATATATATATGTTATTTACTGTTGTTTTCCTATAAGTATTTTTAAATATTTAGGCCTAATTAAGAGCTATTGCTAAAGTGATTAAAGGTATGAGCTGCATATTTGACCCTTTTGTGAGTAGAATAGTATGGACTGATAGTGATTAATTTTGAAATTAAATAAAATTTCAATCAGTCTCCAAACCAACTTGAAATATGGCCAGGTTTAAACTTTCATACACCTGAGGGCAGAATGTAGTAAGTATGTTTACTTTTAGAAAATGGTAAAAGAAAATCCCTGAATAGATGTATCTGTGGGCTGATGCCAAATTTCATTGTTGCAGCTCTAGTATGACATCATACCTGCTACATATCTATCTGACTTATGTATGATCCAATTTCTGTGGAACGGATTAAATAGAAGCACCTAAAAATACCAGAGTATATGTATAATCACCTTCTTGCCATGCTGTACAAATGGACTGCGTTTATTCCTTGACATTTGATGGAGAAAACTGGTTATAACATAGACATTATCAACATTGGCAAAACTTGAATCTTAAAAATAGTTACATCACTTACTCGATAGACAAAAACAGAGCTGACATTGTAGGATGCATTTTTAGTTCCCTGTTCTTCTGCATTAACAAAGTTCATATAGCATAAGAATTACGTGTACAAACTGTTTTAGAAGCTAAGCATGTTCTCTCACATATGTAAAAGGCAAGAGCAATCCCCTTTACATGACAGGAATTTGGAAATAGGCCCTAAGTGTGCAGTACAACAACTGCTTATCGGTTTGTGAGGATTGATTTCCAAACCTCTCTTTAAAAGGGCTGTGATCTTTTTCATCAAAAATTCTGGCTTAAGCCATGCAAAATATAATTTCACATTTCAGACTGCAGCTTGTAAATGAAATCTATATTGCAGAGTTTCAGGATTAGACCTGCTCCTTGTACCTACAGCACTTGAAAACTGATGCCAAAACCCAGTGTTTTTCTTTATATTGCTATCTCATTCAACATTTCAAGATAAACTCAAATTTACAGACTCCATCCCTTCCCACCTCCCCGCAAAAAAGATGTCAGCTATAGGAGTGAATGTAAATTTTAAATAATTCTTGCAAAAACATAATAGATTCAGTTAGTGATTCACTTCAATGAATTGGTCCTAAACAGTTAAAAAAATTTTTAGCCTCATTTTTTGACAGAGGGAGAGGGGGAGATGCCTGGTAGACTAGCAATGAGAGATTGTTTGGGGAGAAATGAAGCAAAGCTGAAATAAAACAGTGCAAGCTTGTTTCTGTATTTGGAGGCCACACACAGAGAGGGGCACTGGACACATTTTCAGGTCTTTTAAAGAGCAAAAGAAATGGCTTTGTTTAAATCTGCTGTAATTTATTGTATATATATTTTTTTACTTTGTATATTATATTTCAAACCAACTTTTCACATGATGAATAAGCAGGGGGAAAATGGCTATTGATCTGATTACTTCTAAGATTTAGTCACTCAAAAGGACTCGCAGCAATTCCAATGTCAATAAGATGCAACATTGTTTTCTAGAAAGGTTTACTGTGGGATTGTAGGGCATGGCATAAAAGCAGTGCATGTGCTGTATACAAGCAGAATGCTCCCTGAGAAAAACATGAAGCTTTTCTTTGGATTCTAGCTAATTACACTTTAGTTACTTGAATTTCTTCAATTTTAAATAGTGTACCCTGGGTACATCTAGAACTTTCCATAATTCTGGTCTATCTCCACTTTTCTCTCCTCTCTTCTATAGTTGCAAGTTCATTTTGGCTGAAATACCAGAAGGTGGAAGGAAGTGGTGAAAAAGCTTATTCTTACTAAGAAAATGTAATTTGTGTTACTTGAAGATTATTAGCTACTTTCAGCACAGCTGTTATTCTTAGTCCCTCTTTTCATGTCCAGTCCTGTCGTTTAGTCTGTGCTTACTGATGAGCTGCTTTATGCAGTGAGGACTGCTTAGCGGTTCTTCTGCATTTTGACTGTTCAGCTGTGCATTTATTAAAAGTCATGTTTTTGGCAGCACTCTACCACCTAAACCCTCCTAGAACTCTATTGAAAAACCAATCCATATTTCATTTCTTTCCCCTTCTTCTCACTTGCCCCCAGTTACAGCCCTAATCCATATAGTAGCCACATGCAATTGAGGGAAACATTATAAACTCTTACAATATATGTTTGGGCTTCAATCTTCCTAGTGACTTGTTTAGTTTAAATTATGTCAGTTACAAGTTTGGCAGAGAAAACTTCATGTAATAAAGTCCATTGTTACTTAGGGGAGCGGGTGAATGGGATACTTGATGCCTGAGGTGCCATTAAGGAATGCATGACTGATTGCCAAAGTAGTTATTAATTATTCAGGGCACTCAGAACAAAGCAGCCCCAGTTAAAGTTGAAGCTGGGAGTGACTATATTCCTCTTCTTTTTTGGCATATGGTAGCATGTCATTTGTCATCAAAGATCATGCCAAAGATCTTTGCAAAAAACAGACTTAACCCTCTTCTATGCAAGTGAAGATGAGGAGTAAAATACAAGCAGCTGCTTAAAGACTGACTTGGTTTAAAAGTGACTTGGCAGGTGTTTTGTGATTTTGATGCAGGACCTGTATGGCTACCTGGATTTCAGTCCGAGAGACATTTTTTTTGTCTTTTGATGCAGAGATGCTGTTAATAGTGCGCTTGCTATTAACAGTAATAAAGATTACATTTAATATTGTGCAGATAATCTGTGTAGGGCCATCTAATAATTGTTCCTTTATTTCATCCAAATTATCTAAGATTTGCTCCTCTAGGCTGGGCCATGTTAATTTTGTTTGTGGAACCTTTTTAATTGGCTTTGTTTAATGAAAAGGCAAATAAAGTTTAAATACTAATAGAAAAAGTGCATCCTAGTAGAACAGAGAAAGAAAAGCTCTTACCTGGCATTCTCCTTTCAGAACTCCACAGCTTTCACAGATACCAGGTGTGTAGCTCGCGTGTCAGTACCAAAGCCCAAGACAGGTTTAACTTTGGCTGAAAGAACTGAAAATCCATCCAGAAGCATCATAAAGAACGCTAGAACATCTCCTAACCAAAAGTTTCTCTACACTCTCTGTGTGGAGTAATCAAAAGATTTTGGAAATAACACAATTTCAGGGTTGTTTAAGCCAAGGTGGTATGAAGCAGCAGGAGAGTGCGCAAGTGCACTTCGCAATGCCTTGTGAAGTCAAAAAGGACTGTGAAAATCTTTCATATGATGGGAAGGACTCTTAAACAAAACCTGTGTGTTCAGAGTTTCCATTGGTTAGGTATAGTGAAACCTAAGCCCCGATAAATCGACAAACTCCTGCAGATGCTCCAGCATGCAAGTTTAATCATGAGGTTTATTTTTTTTTGTATGTGGCAAAAATTCATTGTAAATCAGAGAGGTTTTTGGACTAATTCTTTCCTTGAGATACCATTTTGCATTAAATTTGTGCTTGAGGGCTAAAGAGAAATTCCTTTTAAATTTCCGAAGTGAGACTTTAAAGATTACCCCAAAATACATAGAGAGGAGTGACATACTTCAGATTAATAAAAAAGCTACAAAATGTATAAAACCAAGGATGGCTATTATCCATGGGACTACAAAGCGGGGCGGGGTGGCGGGGGAGAACCTTTGAAGAAGAACGAACCTCTGAAGGATATTTCCTAACCAAATCACAACATCTTGTTTTCCTGTGACCAAATCTCATTCTGTCACATGGGCATCATAAAAAATTTAAAAAAATCTGTGTATGTGAAGCAGACTCAGAGAGGCAGGATTAGAAATGAATCTAGCAAAATTGGTCTAGCAAAATTGTGGGCCTGCACAGAAGTTCATGGAAATGTATCCTTGACCTGAACA